TCTGGCACATGTTAGGCTGAGTGTTTTTCATAGCACTTTAAACCTCAAGAGAAATTTAAAGAGACAAGAGTAGTATCTAAGCATACTGATCGTTCAAAGATGAATACTGAATATGAAATTATGTGCATTTAGAATATTGTACATTATATATAGAACTGAATCAACATCTGAACAGACATATATGATTTTAAACATACGCATTCCCAAGCCACTTTCTGCTTACTACAACAATCTAATTGTTTCTAAAAGAAGCCATAGTGAAAGCATTACAAAGCCATTTCATTTCAAAATCTATATTAACAGAATACTCTCACTAGGCCAACCAGTGCTACAAAATTATAAGCAAGCATGTAAAGAGTTTGATCTGGAACTTGTCATCAAGCTAAATAATAAACAAAACAAGGGGAGAAAGAGGAAACAATCCAGCTGACATGATGTCAAAGAATGTTTTACAATGGAATGTGGGAGAAATGTTCAAATTACTAAGGGCAGTTAGGTTGCACCAAGAGCCACTCTTGGGATTGCTGGGAGGAAGCAACCACTGTTTGATCTGGGGACTTGGCATTTTTAGCTGCTGCATCACACTGTTGACTCATGTTCAACTTGTGGTCTACTAGGACTCCCCTATTATTAACATAACATATCAGTGTTATCTCTGGTTTGCCTTCAAAGTACAGCCAGCAGCAAAAGAACTAATGCGGCAGCTAAGCTACAAATGCAAAAACTGTGCTGTGATTTGCCAATACAGTCATGTTTAAAAAGTTATGATGTTAAGCTCAGGAAATAATGGAATCATTATAGGAGCAAGCCTTGTCCATTATCTAACAGGGATTAAAATAGCAAACCTTTCAACACTATTATGAAGAATGCAGGCAAGTCAGCCATGAGTTGTAGTGCCTGGAGCAATGTTGCTGCCTGAATAATAGAAATTTGACTTAATGGAGGCAAAGCATCAATGGGCTGCTTTCCACTTTCAGAAAAACCAATGGTGGAAGCAAGCTATTTTTAACAGAGGTAAGCACTTACAATTACCAACCACTCTGCCAGTTGCTGTCAAAGGCCTGAATCTGTTGTCAGTCCCAGCTAGAACAGACCCAGTGAATTAATGAGACTTGTCTATGTATTGATTCATCATTTCACAACTAATTCAGTGGGTCTACTGTACTTGGGATTAACCCACAGGATCGAACAGTGCTTTCTACTTTAAACCTGCTTTATGATTAGTGATTGGGGAGCTTCCTTCTAAATGTTTTACTTTCCTTTTCAAAAGTTACAGTGATTTAAAGAAACTGCTCAGTACAACAGATGCAAGGCATATAAGTACAGTTGGCTCTCCATTTTCATGGGGGATCCGTTGAGATTTGGATATTGAGAAATGGAGATTCAGGAATATTCAAGCCCCTCCATGAATATGCAAATCCATGGACTTTAAGTTTGCGAGACAGGCGGGGCGACTGTACAGTTTTATTCCTATTCATTCATACTTGAAAATGAGAGTCACACTGAATATACAGGCACTTATCTCAGACTAAATATGCATGCAATTTAGGTGCATATAAACTTATGGCATTTGGATTCTCCACCTCACATTTACAAAGCACAGATGCCCAACCCTTTTGTCAAGCACCCACATATTAACCAACCTGGAACAGACTAGGACATTCCTCCCCCATTAAGTGTGCTTGATTCATTTCCTGTTTACCTCCTTACCAATCATAATGTGTATCATTGATGGATTTCATGGTAAGAAGCAATAAAAATAATTAGTAAGGAATGCCATAATCACAAAAAGTCAACATGGGTTTCTCAAAAACAAGTCATGCCAGACTAATCTGATCTCTTTTTTTGATAAAATTACCATCTTGGTAAATGAAGGGAATGCAGTAGACATAGCATATCTTGATTTCAGTAAGGCTTTTGACAAGGTCCCCCACGACAATCTTGCAAACAAGATAGTAAAATGTGGGCTAGACAAGGTAAATGTTACATAGAATTGTAATTGGTTGGCCGGCTGAAACCAAAGGGTGCTCAGCAATGGCTCCTCTTCATCCTGGAGAGAAGTGACCAGTGGGGTACCACAGGGTTCTGTCCTGGGCCCCATTGCTATTCAACATCTTTATCAATGATTTGGATGAAAGAATAGGGGGCATGCTTACCAAATTTGCAGATGACACCAAATTAGGAGAAATAGCTAATATCCCAGAAGATGGGATGAAAATTCAAAATGACCTTAATAGATTAGAAAGTAGGACCAAAGCTAACAAAATGAATTTCAACAAGGAGAAATGTAAGGTACTGCACTTAGGGCAAAAAAAATGGCATGCACAGATATAAGATGGAGGACACCTGGCTTAATGAGACTATGTGCGAAAGGGTTCTAGGAGTCCTAGTAGACCACAAGTTGAACATGAGTCAA